ATCCAAAATATTATTGGGAATAATTTGTTATTATTCACTGTTAATATTTGGATAAAGAAACCCGGAGTGGTAAATATCCAAAATAATTTTCTAGGAATAATAAATCCGCACACATCCTTGAAAGAAGCCTTGATTATAATCGAGGACATTTCAATTTTTTTTTTACTCCATGGTTTACGAGTCGTGAGAGGATAAAACACTAAGACAAAAAATAGAGTTTTAAAGCACTCTAGATTTCTAATTTTTGTCCCTCCTCCTTGCGATTTACGAGTCGCAAAACTCTTGAAATACCAAAGGAAAATTGAGCTTGTAAAACACGTTGAATCTCCTTGGATTTCTTTTTTAATAAATTTAGTTAGAATCAAACCGAGAAAAACTGATGGGATTAGAAAACATCAACACCATAGCAATTATAAGACAAACCAAACACCAAGCAGCTTACCTTAGGTAAAGCGTACTAGGGGTGCTAACATCTTCCCTTTACGCAACCAGTCTCTTGCCTTAGAATCTCTGAAAGACCAATTAGATTTCCTAGTGAACATAATACTAGGTGGCGACTCCCTTTTACACAAAAATAAAACTAAAAGACCCCGAAATCAATTGATGGTAGCCACGACGCCGCTCTCCGCTCACGAGGGTGCGACAATTATGTTGGAAACAAACCAGTTCGGCAAATCTGTATTGCTTTCAGGACCAGTTATACCAGAGCCAAGCACCTCAACTTTAGATGAGAAGTGGTCTAAGTGGCTTGGAGAATTCGAGGCCATTTCTGTGATATACTGTGCTTTCGGAAGTGAATGAACTGTGGAGAGGGATCAGTTTGAAGAGTTGCTCTTAGGTTTGGAGCTCACTGGCATGCCATTCTTGGCAGCATTTAAACCATCTGCAGGCTATGAGCCAATTAAACTCCCATTACCTGAGGGAAGTGTGAAAAAAAAAAAAAAACATTCCAGCCCAGCTCACCATGGTGCAAGGTGGTCCGAAGCTGTTTCTTACTGAAGTAGAGGAGACCCAGGAGGTAGGAGGAGGATTTGATTAACCTCCAAGAGCTTTAAGTTGATTTAAAGCGTAAATTAAATTAAAATCTTAAATTTCCCATTCAAGGATTCCAATTTCAAGCTCAAGCCCTTGTCATTCAATTAGGGGGTTGTGATATGGTGCTTGGAGTCCAATGGTTAAAATGTCTCGGGCCAATCTTGTAAGATTTCTGTATCTGTCAATGGAGTTACAGTATACTGAGTATTCAGTTAGGCTTCAGGAATGAGATTGTAGAATTCAGATATTAATTATGGTTCAGATTTTGTACAGGAGCTTAAAAAGAGGATAAATGAACTATTACTATAAATTTAGAGTTTGAAAGCTGAGCAAGAGGCTACTGGAAAATTGCCAAAATTAGTGCAAGATCTGCTAGAGGAAATTGCTAGGGTTTTTAGGATCCCAAAGGGCTGCCACCCCAAAAAAAGTTAAGATCATTATTTCCTGGTTTAATTAAAGAAAGAAAAACGAAGGCACTATTGTTTAATCTGCAACCTGTGGATATCTGGATTCTGGGCAAGTATTTATTTAGATAATGTTCGATCTTTTATAGTGAATTATTCCTTAGGCCCTGACTTTTGAATGCAGTTATAACTTAGTCCTCTACGTATAAAAACCTCCAAGTTAGAACCCTTAAATCCTTGTTAACCATTTTTGGTTTTTCTCAAAACAATATATAAAGCAAACCAAGATGTCTCTTCAAATCAACAGAGCTGATGAGCGGCTGCCATTGCTAACTGGAAAGAAAAGTAATGCCAAGATGTTACTAAAGCAGTAATCTTTATCTATACAAAATCACCAGCCATTACTTGCCAAAGAATCATCAGAGATACCTTGTTATAGAATTCTGTTAGTTTCCACAATCAAGTAACATTCTGAAACTATGTTCCGCGTATTATGCCAAAGCTATTTAGAAAATGATTGTATGGAATCATGGCCCGGGTCCCATGCCGGTGCCAGAAGTTTTGTGATCATGAGCACAATTAACATCTCCAGAATCAGTTTTCTCTATAAGCCTTTCCTTTCCCTCAAGAGTGGGGCCGTTACCAGAAGTTACAACAGCAGTGAGCCTTCCCATTTTCTTCTGCAAATCAGCGAGTGGATCCTTTGGAACTTTTCCTTTCAGAGACTTCTTTCCATTAGCAAGCTTGAGTTCTAACCTATATAATGCACATAAATCGCAGTTGTTGATCTCATATTCAAATAAATGCCACTCATGACAGCCTGCAGGTTGTGGGTCCATATAATAGGATTTCTTCTGGCCCCCAAGCTCTTTCATCACCTGCTTTCTTGATTCATGCCAACCACGGCCACTGTAGTCTGGCAATGACCTCTGCTTCCTATTTCCGCTGTCAAACGCCCTTCTTGGCTTGTCAAAAAAGAGCCACTCCCTAATTGTTTCACCATCGAGTAATGAGAGATCAAATAGTTCTACGACATGGACACAAAATGAATAAGCCAAAATAAGATATGGCAACTTTTTCAACCATATTGTCACAAGAAAAAACATAATTAGCCGACCACATGGATTTTTGAATCATAGATGAATCTTATACCACATCAAATAATTAGCTTACAACATAGAGACCTTGATCATAGATGAATCTTCTACGGTATTAAAATGAATTATTCACCATTACTGAATAAGAGCAAGAATGCTGTAGATCAAATATGCAATGTAACAAGAAATTGCACTTGAAAATTAAGCAAAGGGAGAAAGGGGGAGGCACGCATGCGGGCTTACCAGCAGCATTCCATGGGGATTTCATGACAGCAGCCCCTTCACACTGAGGAATACCAACATTCTTACCTTGCATCTTTGCAATAAGGGCGTCAAATAGTAAATTATCCTTCAAATTAATGCCTCTAGGCCGCAAAACTGGGGCCATAACTGGGGGGGCCTTCATTTAAGGCCAGGGTAGCATGAAAGCTGCTACAGTAGTCCTTGCACCATTCAGATCCTTGAGCAGGCCTGGTGCAGTCCCATAAAGCACATTTAGGCCCCATAAAAGCAGAAGGTGGAGGGCTGATATACTGCAGATTGTTACTCTCAGCATTTTTTCCACGCTCTTCAATGTCATTGGTGCCACCAAAAAGCCCGGGGTCAAATTCTTCATGCAAAGTGCACTGTTGACAATCCAATAAAGTAGTTGTATCGGGGGCGCTAACCACTACATTTTGCAAACCAGAGGCAGAGCTGTTGGGTTGATGAAACCCTTGAAAACCAAGCCCCTGACCATGACTATTCACCAAATATTCCTGAAATGTAAATGTTGTATGCTAATCAGTCATCACCGAGAATATCTTTATGCCATGAAAGATCAAAACTTAGGGCACTAGGAACTGAATACCATGTGAATGACAGTAAATGAATACTTCAGTTGATCACTGAAATTACACATGGACGTGCAAATGAAACAAAAAGTAATATGAATCTTGCTAAAAGCTCAAATCATTAACAAAAAACAGCTCAAGTACTATGGATTAGCATTTAAGAAATGGTTCCCATCCAAATGTTTATTGTTGTCATAGTCTTGGACATGTATCTTCCCAAAATCAAATCAGGGCAGGGCCTTACAGTTTTCTCAACACTTGGATAGTTGCATCTATTGGTCTTAAAGTTCTATGTTAGAGATGTGCTGGGACTTGAACAAACCACAAGGCTAGTAACATCGAGACCCCCCTATGAAACTTGCAAAACATAAAATCACCTTCTAGGCTTATAATATGTCCCACATTGGCTTCACTAAATTACCTTCAAGCAATAGGCTTGCTTCTTTTTCTTTTTTCAAAAAAAAAAAAGCAATTGTTATAATGTGCAATAACAGATAGCAAGTAAGAAGACAATCTACACCCTCCATGTGAACTATGGCATCAAGCTTCAAAGTAAAATGATAAGAGAACGTATATTCAGTAAGGGAAAAAAATAATAATAATTAAAAGGACCATAATCTTTCTGTATATGACTTGCCTCAGCCAGGAGCTAACATGGTTTTTTCTTTTTTCCAATTTCCATGTCGGTAAACCAGAAAAATACAGTGCAAGACTTAAAATTCCATTTCTTCATACTTGTAGGTAATCATGATGTAGCCTTTTTAAATAAATGAAAGTGAACTACAAAGAACCAAAATGATATGAACTGTGAAGTATGATGCATTGCTACAACTTACTAGTCAGAAGAACATTATAATAATCCCCAAATAGGATCTTACATGTTGAAATGTTGTTAAATTGCCAGAATTAAGGTTATGAAAATTAGGCTCGGGCTGCATTTCTGGCTTCAAAACTGACTGCATTGTTAGTGGACTTGTCGCATCATCTTCTTCCTCATACAATTGTAACAAGCGGCCTATATCATCTGAAAAGGATCCCAGACTGATATCCTACAAAATACCCATCCCAAATTAACTAATCTAAATTCTTTAAAGACAACACCACACTGACAGGCAATACAAATATTTCATTATCCACAATAGCAAATAGGAGATGCTAACAAGCAAAGAATTGGCAGGTGATGGCACATCAAGCTCAGCTTTCCACTCACGAAGACCTTGATACACCTGCTCCTCCAACACAGCAACATCACTATTCCACCCCTCTTTCCTTGCAGCTTGAAGGTTAGAGAACCTTTCAAGAAGATCATTTAGCCGGGCTTTTGCATTGTCCATCAACAGATGGTGCGACCTAGACGTGCATTTACTCTTCTTACCTTTCTGCATTGAACCTCTCCCTCCTCAAAATCCTTAAACAAACCAGAATCAAAAAATTAAGTTTCACACCAAAAATCAAAACTTCTTCGACATGAAGCATCCAAAAAAAGGTGAATAAGAAACTAAAACAGCACAGGATAAAGACTTTCCAGGAGACAAAAACCAGGGCACAAAATAAACTAAGAAACCCCTTTTGCCACTTGTTTCAATCCTCAAAACCAGATATAACAAAACATCAAAATCAAAACCCACACATCTCACTTGTGCATAAAAACAAATATCACCACAAAGCTGAATCTTTCGCCTCTAACAATAATCATAGAAATCGCATAAAATATTGATGATTTTTTTATCTAAAACATAAAACAAAAACCCAAAAGCCAGTATGTGCCAATCATCACAGAAACACAGTGAAGCAAAAACAATAAACATAAATTAAACTGAAAAAAAAATAAAAAAGAAAGAAAGACAATAAATTTATTACCTCAAAAAAAAAAAGTAGGACAGCAGCAAAGGTCTTATTGATGGGGCTAGGGATTCGAGAAAGAAAGAGGTTTTAGTACTGGCTGTAGTATTTTATGGTTTTGGATTTGGAAGGGAAGAAGGTTTGGTGCCCGCCAAACTACATAGAAGGCTTGTGTTGTCCCGACCTTTTCTTTCCGTGTCCTGAAAAAACAAAAATATTGATTGTATTTTAAACGAATTTGCTGAAATCAAACATCATTCATATTTAAAAATGTAAATACAAATATCTTTTAAAAAAGAGTAGAATATGAATTAAAATCCGAGTTATATATATATATATATATAAAAAACTATGGAGCTCATTAAAAAATAAAGAAAAAATCTCAAATTATTTTAGAAATTAATAAAAATCAAATCATTATTTATGAAAGAAAACCAAGACTATTATTTTATTAAAAAAATTGCTCATTCTATGATAAATTAACATTATTCAATTAATGTTCTTTTATCTCCTTATTTGATGAGATAATATATCCAACAACAAAACAATTTGACGAGAAAAGGAAGAAAGAACATGACATTGATTGAAATGGATAATTCCATGGTTTTCAATACCAAGTTAATAGTGGATTTTTGAAGGGAAAAAAATTACATTAACAAGTTGTTAAGAGTATAATTCTTTATATAGAAACCAAATAATTTGCTGCTATAATTACTTTTATTATTATTATTATTATTATTTATTACCTTTATAAAAAAAAATTCCATGTCATTCATTATATAAAAATAAAAAATAATCATTACAACTATAAAAAAAAATACCATAGACACTTGAATATAGAGATAAAAAAAATATTTTATTAATTAAATTTTTTTATCTTATTAAACTGCATATATCAACTTGGAGACCCCTACATGGCTTCATACTTACCTTATATTTTAAATTATATCATGTGAAAATTAAATCAAAGTAACTCAATTAGGATAATAGGTTTAACCATCATCTAATTGACACAATTAAAATTAAGTTTAATTAAAAAAAATTATGGATATTTTTTTTAATATTAACACCATAATATTTTATATGGACCCAGGTTTTAAGATATGACTTAATTAACCCGATTGATTAGGTTAAAACTTGATTTGTTTATTAAAAAAATTAAAATAATGTTGATTTAATGTTTTTTTAATAAAAAATACTAAAATAATGATATTTTTTATAAACTTGAACTAACCCGTTTAAATTATGACCTAGATCATAATCTTTACCAATCTAATAACTTTTTTATAAAATATATATTTTTTAATGAAACCATTAACAATCTAAAAAAATATAAGAGATGATCTTAATCAAAATACAAATAAAGAAACTAATGCAAACTAAAAACAATCATAAGAAAAAAGGATTTGAATTAAAACTTCCAAGAATAAATAGAAACAAATAAAATAAGATAAAGTGCTTTTAGGCCTAGCAAGAAACCCAAAAGCCTTAGGAAGCTAAGGCATGAAAACCTAGGCTCGTACATCTAGGTTGATTTTATTTATTTATTTATTTGCATGTCATTTGCTCTTTTTTAAAAGAAAGATAAATAATATGTTGTATAGAGATCCAATTTCTGACCACCATAGTAGTGATTGAGAAATCAAGGATCAACTTTTTAGACCCCAAAACTCATTTTCCAATCAATTTTTCATGTGAGAGCACCTACAATACATTCTAAAGACTTTAAAAAACTCATTTGTGGTCTTAAACTTGAAAAAAATTGGTTTAAAAAACACAAAATCAACCCAATTTTGAAAACCTTACCCAACCTTAACCTATTTTTTTAGGCAAGATCAAGGCCAAATAACACATGAATAGAACTTCTCTAATAAAAAAGAAACCCGTTAACACTAAGAATGAATATTTTGTGGCTAAAACTTGATCAACTAATAACTTTCTCTCTCCTTCATCCTTTTTTAGTGACTCTCTCTCTCTCTCATCTCTCAAACTAAAGATTAAGATGAGATGTAGCTCGCCTTGTAGAAACAAAGAGGTTTTGAGCATTCAAGTAAGGATCTGACACCTCTATACGAGGATTTGATCAAAACAGGTTATATAAATAACCTAAGATATATTTTTACGGACTAATGGAATATATCTAGATAAAAAAAAAAGGTTTGGGACTACTTGGCCTAGTTAGTACATTAAAACTACAAAAACAGGAAATCTGATTGTTGGATTGAGATCAAATATTCTTAGATGATTCTACATACTATTTTTCTTGGGACAACAACTATATTGCTAAGTGAACCATTGAATCTTTTATAATTGCATTTTAGAACCTAGTACTCTTGTTTTCCTAGTTAGCTATGAAATTATTATTTATTTTTGGATTTTATGTTAATTTCCTTTATGACTTAGAATTCTTGTTATGTTTTCTAGTCTAGGTTAGTTTTTCTAACCTATAAAAAGCATTGTAAACCTTTTTAGGAAACAACTTTGATCACATTATTATTCGAGAAATAAAATAAGGTTTTTAGAATTTATTGTGTCTGAATCAAATTCAGCTTGTTTTCTATTTTTTTTTATGGTTGCTATTATTTCATTGTGCTTCCACTAACATCACTTTCTCTTTTATCTTTCAAATCAAGAACTAAAATAGAAAAATAAATAAATTCTTGAACTAAAACATTTCATCCCTAAGTTAAAAGGGATCAAATAGTAACTTTTGCAAAACCCCAAGGTAAAATTTACTAAAAAGGCAATGGAACAACTTTTTTTTTTAAAAAAAAAATTATAATAAGGTTGTGTTTTTTTTCTTCTTCTTTAATTTTGTTTTCCATACTTTCAATTTTGCACAAACAAGAAAATCAAATAGATTTCTATAAAATCAAGAATCAATTCAATGATGATTACATTAGTCCCATTAAAAAACAAGAAGGAACAAATTATGATTATTAATTTTCAATTAGTAACTAAATAAAAAAAACCAAATGAAAAAAATTGTGAAGATTAAAAATAAAATATTGTTTGAAGGGAGTCAACTAGAATTAATTAATTCCTCCATGTTCTTTTTAATAATTTAATAGTTTTTCATATAAAAAAAAAAAGAGAAATAATTATTTTTCAAAATGTTTTCAAATTAAAATATATCAAAATGATATTTTTTTATTTTAAAAAAATTATTTTTAATATCAATATATCAAAACAATCTAAAAATTTAAAAATATTGATTTTGAATTTTTTTAAAATTTAATTAAACATGGAATGGAATGCAGTCCCAAACTACCTATAAAATTGCAATGAATAGTAAATAAAGTTTGACATAAAAAAGCATCCTTGTTTTTCTTGGAGATTATTATTTCATGCTTTTCCTTGAAGATTATTTCGAAAATGATCAAAATACATGGTTAGTCTCACCTTACTCAAAGCCCAGCATATCAATTACTAGTTTAGAAATTTGTTCAATACTTTGTTAAAGCATGATCAAGATAGAGTTTCCATTGAAAACTGACCCATTGGTATGTATATATCTGAAAAATTACAACAGAAACTGAATATGCAGACGGTCCAGCATAAACACAAAGCATATGTAATTGATTTTCACCCACAAATGGGACCTAGATCCACTAGCATATGATTCTGTCGATTAGAGAATTGGAAACTTCATAAGCACTTGATGCCTGGCCGCATGAGTTAATTGAAGCCTTTGTACAAAGTATTCAGTTCTCGACCATTGTCGGGATTCTGTAAATGCAAACAGAAAATTTGAGGAACAGAGTATAACCTATTCACATAGAAGCTAGGTATATAATATACAAACGCAATAGATCAAGGAATTGAAGTTCAGCCAACATAGATAATATGAAGTATATGGAAGGAGAAAATTACTTTCCCTAGCGAGGAGCAAGGGTGCAAAGTAAGTTAGGTCAGTTCTTCCAGTAAACTTCTTGCTCTACTTAATTTTTGAGTGATCAAGTTGGTTTTCCATTTCCATCTTCAGTAGCATGGCCATGCTTGAAATGGGAAAACCCAGCAATACCTCGTCCTCTAGCAAGTTGATCCACCTCATCAAGCATCTGTTTGAGAACCTGAATTTCTTTTGCTAATTCTTCATCTCTTCGCATCATCGCCTGTGACAGATGGTAGGAGAAACTTAGTTCTAAAGTCAAATAGACGGGGGATTTAATGTCTGTATATTCCTAAAGTTAGGTAACAATAAATTGGCACAATTATTAGAAGTCCACCCATGTTTCAGAGCTCTCATTCCCCAGCTTGTGTTCACTGTAATTCTTTGCTTTACTTTCCTTCTTATACAAAAAAGAAAGAAGAAAAGAAAAAGAAACCAAGATTGCATGTATAAGAAAAATTAAGATGTATTTTAATCACTTCAAAACTTGACAAACATAAAAGATCTGCAGTTCTGTGCAATGAGCCAACAAGATACTCCACCAGCCACAAAGAAAAACTGCAGATAAAAAAAAATCATTACAAAATCAGCTAGGCCCTATACTTTTGATACGAATACCTCCACCAATACTTCAATGTTTACAAAGGCATCCATTGCTTTCTACATCCTAGTCTTCATGGTACCAGCAATCCCTTTATCTATACAAGAGATGGTACACCCTATATCCACTATATCCCACCCCTTCTCAACCATCTATCCTCCAAAATGGCAAGAAGCCAAAAAGAATAGAAAATGCAACGAGCAATGCATAATAAGAGGAAGCATCTTAAAAGATGCCTAAGAATGTGAATAGTGTAATTTCAAAATACACTAACAATAAGCTAAATCAAGGAATAGCTTATTGTATACCTCAATTTCCTGTCTTCGCTTCTCCTCCTTTCGCGCTTCAGATCTGGAACTTCTTTGCACCTCGGAAATAACAGCAGCTCCAGCAACCTGATAATGTTTATATATGTTTAGCCAGCTTATAGAAAAGTAAGTTTGTACAGTTCAGCAGGACCATCCAAAAATCATCATGAAAATAACATAGATGAAGGTCAAATTGACTTCTGGACAGGGGTCAGCTACAATGTTTCTCAGGCTGATAATATTATAGGTACGACAATAGCAAATTTGGTGCAAACCCACAGGTCGGCTTCCAACTTGCCTTTACAAGTAGTTAGGGGCGAATCCACATTTTGGACAAGGGGTCAATTGCCTCCCTTAATATTTCGAACCCCCCCACACCCCCAAAGTCCTTTTACATGAATGCAATTAAAAATGCATCAATTGCCCCACCTTAATTTTCTAACTTCTCCCATTAGTCCTTCTTTTTTATCTTTTCACATAGTTCCATATAAAAATGCATCAATTTTCTTTTTTCTTGTCAATGAAAAAATATCCCCCCCACTTAAAGAATATTTCTAGCTTCGCCACTGCATGTAGTAAACAGGTGTCAATGATTAATTTTATTTGAAACTATAATGGTTTCATTTCTTTGATCCATTCACAGAAAGGTTAGGAAACAAAAAGTCTTCACTGAAATGAGCCCAAAATGAGTATAACAAGCCTCCTCGTGCATTCACACACTATGGCATAGATATCAAATTGCTGTAGCCCTACGATAGTGGAAATTGCATACCCACATGGTCAAGTAAATCAAAATGTGCATCTGTTTCTTTAAAAGCAACAATAACATTAAAATAAAAAAACAACCGGCAACTTCTGATAACCCAATAACCAGAAAGGCTATTTTATCACCATAGTATTTCATACCAGGCCCATTTGAATGATTGTAACTCGTGACTAGTCCTTACAGGGTAGACACATCACAGGTTGTGACAAGAGGTATTAGAACCAACCAACTAGCATCTCCATAGTCTCAGTACACAAGCATGCAGCTCAGACTCATTCATGTATAGGAAGCATATGCAAACACAAAACACACATACAATAAACTTTTCCTACCATGGATATGCTTGATTTTTCAGATCCAAATTACACAAACAATAAAGGCAGGAAATGCCAGTACCGAAAACACAAAGAGTTCCCCAATAAGATCTGCAGCAGCTTGGACAGCCTTCTCCTCATCCAATGGTCGTATTACAGCATCAACTGAATGGCCATAAATGCGTCTTTGCATTTTTGTACTGAATCTATGATTTGCCTGATTCAGTCACAAAATGAACATATTTCTTACATTCTTTATTTCAAACAAGAGAAGAGAAATCATGAATTACAACAAAACAAGTTTCCGGGGTCAAAAGACACAATGAAGCGCAGTGCAAAAATAGATGATGATTTTCAGCTTAACATCGCATTTCATTGCAAACATAGACAATCATAATTTCTTCAGCATAACAACAAAAACGTTTCCACCTAATCATGAGACACACGCAAGGTAAACATATTTCATGTGGATTCCCAGCCCGTAAAGTAAGAGAAAAGAATCAACCTTGAATGGATAAAAACTTTCCATGCTATAGGACGCAGGCAGGCAGAGTACACAATGAAAATGGCCATATCATGTATGTATTACAGTGACTACCTACTGAATGTAATAAAGGCCACAATTACAAATGATCTGGCATTGATTAGAGTGAATCAAATCTTAACAGAGCAACACTTAACAACATAACCTTGCTTACGCAACAGGGTTGTAGTACCATTAATGAATCTATACACCAAGTTCAAGACCATCAACCCTGTATTAATAACAAAACCAAGAAATAAACCAGAAAACAAAAGGTACACCATTAACGAGAACACATTTTTAGACAAAAGCCTCCAATCAATTAATTTGATGAAGTTACATTTACCAAGTTCAAGACCAACCCATTATTTAGAAACACAGTATCAGTGATCAAGCAACCAACCAACACTATTAATGCCAAAAAACAATAAAAATTAGAAAATAAAAGGTATGCCATTAACAAGAACAAATTTTTAGACAAAACCCATAAATCAAATAACTTAAAAATGTAAAGAAAAGAAAGGAAAAAAGCAAACCTGGGCCATGTTGATGATGAAGTGACGGAACTTAGGGTGCAACCCTGCTTCCTTCTTGAGACGATTAGCAATGGGCTTGCAAAATGTTTTGAGAGCAAGGGTTCCTAGCTTTACGACTGGTAATATCATACTTATTGTACCTTTTTACGTTCTGTAGCGTTTCTTCTTCTTCTTGACAGAGCAGTCCTTTCCCTCCACAGGACGTTCTGAAATTTTCATTCCGGCATGATGCTAATTAGACATGCTCCCACTTCTCTAAAAACTTTCCCAAATGCTAAAACCCAAGCTGGTTGGTCCATTGGGCCAGCTCCAGTTCGGTTTGGTTTCATGTAAGTGGTTTAGGTTTTGTTAGATAGGTAGTCGATGCTAAAAAAAATTGTTGAGAATAACAAACCGGGATAATCTATATTTTCCGCATAAAGGAAATAGGAAAAATTAACAAAGTTTAAGATATAATAATTTAATATTAAATAATTAAATAAATTTTAATAAAGAAAAGTCAAAGAAAAAACTGAGTCAATCTAGATGCACTCGATAATATATCACCTATGATATGAAATCGGCTAAAAAATATTTTTAAAAAAAAATATAAAAAGTACTGAAGTTGAATTAATAAAAAACTTAGAATAACTTGATTAACCCATAACCCGAGTCAACCCAATAGAAAAAAAAGCGAAAAAAAATTACAAGGCTTAAAATTCAATCATCTAATATTAAAGAACAAAATTAAAAAAATAATAATTTAAAAAAACATTGAAAAAAACTTGAATCAACCTAAGTTAACTAGACTAACCTATGACCCAAAATATAAGATCAAGATAAAAAATTATTTTTTTTTAAAAAAAAAGGACCTAAAAGAAAAGAATGAAGTGAAATAAAAACAAATGTGAAAAAATTATAGTCAACCTGAGTTAACTTGACTAACTCATAATTTAGTATAACCTCATATAAAAAAAATCACAAAATTTAGGGCCTAATAATATAATTTCAAATTATAAAATTAAAAATAAAAAAAATAAAAATATCAAAGACCCATGATATGATTTTGAGATAAATCACATGTCCTCCTTCAAGGTGGAACAACAACTATAAAGTATTTAGAAATTTTTTAATTTAATAATTTTATAGTATTTAATATAATACATGTTTTTATTTTTAAATATTTTTTAATGAATATATTTGATTTTAATAAATAAAAAAACAAAGATAAAATTATATTTTATATCACATGAAAATTCAATAACAAGAGGCAATAACGGGAAGAAGTTAATAATTGACAATGAAAAGTGTTCGAGTAATATAAAGATCGGAATGATATTAAATTTTAGTTAATGAGTCCATAATATTGATGAAAAAACTTTATTATTCTTTACTTGATATTTATTCTTTGTATTTTTTATTTATAATCTCAAATATTAATTTTGATTAGTTGAAATGTAAAAATAAATTTACATAAAAAATATAAGATCAGGAGATGAATTATTCCATATGTATGTTTCTACCACATCAAAAGGATAAGAAATTACATTTTTTGGGTTATGTTGAAGAATTCTGATCAACTTGGAAGTGAGACACTATAACTCAAAAACAATATAAACGATCAATCACAGATCCCTTTTATTTTTTAAAAGAAAAAGATTGGTGTTATATCACTCACTTTTTGTGTAGAATTTTGAAAACTATAATCTATATATCTGAATTTGATTAATTATTAATTATTTATTATTGTAAATTTTTTTAATAATTAATTGTTATCTTTTTAAAGATATTGGAGAATTTTATAATAGTGAACGCTATAACATCTAACTCAAGTTAGCATGTTAAATTTATGGCTTGGTCCTGAGACTAGGATAACCCTGTATAGAGGAAATTGAATAAAACAATTGATGTCAATTCTTAAGTTAACCAAATGATGAAAAACAAACTTTAAAAAAGTTGAAAAAAACCTGAGTTAATTTGACTTATTCGTGACCTGGGATATGAGATCAGATTAGTTAAAACTCATAATTTAGGTCATGAGATCGAGATTATCCCATAGAAGAAAAATATGAAAAAATCATGAAGTGAAATTTCTAATCATTCAAAATTAAAAGAAAACAGATAATAATCAAAACATTGAGGACAAAATCTGATATAAAAACTAAATAAATGAAAATAATGAGGGACTAAGTTGAAAATAAAAATAAAAATCTAGAAAATAAAAAAAAATAGCAATTAAAAGAATGAGAGTAAAATTAGATAAAAAAATTACATGAAATTAAATATTGAGGGAAAATTGAAATAAATAAATAAATGGTAAAAAAGTAGCAATAAAAAAATAAGATATTGCACCCTAGTTTTATTTTTATTTTATTTTATTTTAAGTGTATTTAAGTCCTTAAAATGTGCTCTAAAATGCAAAAAGACCAATTTATCCATGTTTAATATAATAATAGCAAATAAACCCTATGGAAAAGACTGTTTTATCTCTAATAACTAGTTAAATGATTTTGTTTAAGAATAGTAAAAGTATTATTTTTACTATTTCAATCTACAATGAACTATGTTTTTTGCTACAATGATCATCTTGATTGATGGTTTTTATTTTATTTTAATTATTGAGGGAATGTAATTATAAAAGATTAAAAAATTAAAAACAAATTTTTTTATGCTATTTGGCATCCAAATATTATATATTGCCAACACAGTAATGCATATTAGAAAAAAAGTTGTCATATCACTCCATTTTAGTGTCCTCAATATAATTTTTTTAAAAAAAACTACTCATTTAATTATGAAATATCAAATCTCTATTATTGTAAATATTATATATAAGAAAAAAATAAATAAAAAGTTAATTGGAGTAGAGATTAATCGTTCTTTCCACATGAATCCTATCTATATCATAGACTTGATCAAAAAGATTGACTAGTAGAAATTTCCTTAGCAACTTGTTATTATTGTAAATATTATATATAAGAAAAAAATAAATAAAAAGTTAATTGGAGTAGAGATTAATCGTTCTTTCCACATGAATCCTATCTATATCATAGACTTGATCAAAAAGATTGACTAGTAGAAATTTCCTTAGCAACTTGTTATTATTGTAAATATTATATATAAGAAAAAAA